TTTTCTTCCACTAACAAACAGTTATAAGCAATGCAGGCCTGTCTGATGTGTTTCTTTCACCTATTTGCGAGGTCCGACTCTTCAGTGGTTTGAACCGGTAGCCGTACAACATATATCATGGAAGTTTTGTAGCAAAAGTAATTTACTGATCCCTCAACGTATGGTCGTCTTGAGTTGGAGGGGGTGCATTTGTATGAACCCGAAAGAGCGGTTGTGCTTCTGTTTCAGCCTTCCTTGGGACGCTAGATTGCAAGCAACGAGGTAACCTTCGGTGTGTGAGTGACGGTGTTTTGATATGAAGCACTTTTACGTTGCGCTTACTGTTTCGTGCCAATTTAAAACGCACCAAGGATGTCAAGCCTGTAATAAATGGAACTTGTTTCGGTTAAAAAGTTTTTTTAAAGCTGTTCGCTTCCTTCTGATCAAACACAACAATGAACTGAACATAACACAGTAAACTTGCATACGATGAGCAGGACTGAAAACTTTGAACCTCGTTTAAGTGAGTGCAGAAGTACGAAAGAAATGTCAAGTATCATCTTGCCATTAAATCTATGCTGTACTAACTGAACGGTGACATTCAAGGTTTCAGAAGTTGCCATAAAATGATTCTGCATGTTAAATTTTCAACTTTGCTTTGTTCCTGTTAACCGTACAGAAAAGGTAGAATAACAGTCTTATAATAGGATCTAAGTATCGCATAACATTGATTTCATAATGTATAGTACTTATATGCGTTGGGAACCGAGAACATTTTAACTTCAACTATGTAATCATATTATTTCAGCCTTCCAAAAGTGCACCATGTCATTTCTACTCTTCTGCTGATTTCACATTGCAAAGATGAGCTGTCCAAGATAGACGTAGTTTTGCATTTGCTTAAGTGTAGTAAGTCCGTTAACTTAAACAGGTCACGTGGTTACTTACGTGCTGAACATTACTTAAGGATTGTTCAGGTTCATTTTCGGTCGTGCTTTGGTGCTGGCATCGTTCAGTTCCTATGGGGGGGGGCATTTAATCGGATTACTGTCTCCGGGATTGCATTGCATAATCACAGTATTTTGAAGACTTCTAAAATTAATTTGACGATGCATAAATTGTTGCGTAAGCGTAACGATTGTCACGCATTTTTCATTCATACCAGGAGTGATGTGCCCTAACATTTGTTAGTAAACCCATTTTTAAACAGGTCGAAACTTAATTCATCAGTATAATGCAATCGGCACGTTTCGAGTCAGCAATCAGTTCGGTTGTGTTTGCTGTTTTATGAACTGAAGTTTAAGTTTTATTGTTGTGACGACAAGAACTACCTGCCTGACTTTACTATATATAATTCTCATTTACTGACCCTGACTGACCCCTCAGGTGAGGATGACAACGACAACAGCTCATTTCAAGTTTGTCACAAGAAGTTTTTTCGTTCCTCCTATGCGCTGACCGAATGGGTCGTGGAGGATTTCTGTTTCGACGCTGAACGACATGTTCACCGTCTGGTTCATTCAGGAAGCGCATGATGCGGATTTTGTTAAAGGTCGGTCTGTTGTCACTTCTAATTTTCTTTGACGGCTCTCATCGTTGATAGTGATACTGCTAAACCTTGTTCAGAAAATTTGTAGATCATTGCATCTATCGGTTGGATTGCGAATATCATTTTTGCTACATCTAGAATCAGCCTTCGTTCTAGCGCTAAACAGTTTTTGAAAAGCTACAACGTTAATACGGCTATGGAAAACATAGTAACTGCATGTAATAAACTTATTCGAAACATAATGATGGTATTTAGTAGAAACTGTGGTTAAAACACCTTGATAATTTCCGTGATTTCGAGGGTGAGGATAAAGGCATGCAAAAGATGATCGTGCAATTAGTAAACTGTAGCAACATTCAAACAGGCAGATGCGGATTATGCTTAAGGTGTATTTTTGGTATATATCTATGGATTTGTTAATGAAAAATCAATTTGGCTGCATGTAAAATTGTTCAGTTCATTGCAGATTGCTAAACAAATTCTCGACGACAACGATCCATACTCAGAACGGGTGCTACTAGCTTCATGACCGTACCTGTCGCTATTATGATATGAGCACACCAGAAACCATGCTGTCCTTGTTCGCAGGTCAGCGGATTGATTATGCCCACTTCTCGATTGGTTTCAGCGAAGCAAGGTGGAGTGAATTCATTGCACAGTAGAATTAGCGGTAATGACTTTTTTCAGGATTAGAATCCGATGCTTCCGAAGTTCGAAACCTACCTCATACCGTTATGCCAACGGACCCAATATTCCTAAAATGCACCCTAGGCCGCTACAAACAATGGATCAGTTCTGCCACGTAAATCGAAAATGACCACAATATCTGTATTAAAAAATATTTTCGGTTCACCGAGGTGTGGAAATTGTTTACAGTTCTGACAAGTACC